ATCGACCACGCCGAGTAGTCCTCCCTTGCGAGCATCTCTTCTGCCACCTCTGAGAAGCTGCCCGCACTGCTCTCGCCGTTTCTTGCCTTGACATCTTCGAGCTTCACGGCAAAGTCTACCTCCAGAATGCCAGATGGACGTGGCACAGGGTGCGCCTGCATCAAGATGTACCAGAACCCACAGCCAGACAGGACGATGACGAGCACCCCCGAAACAATAAACACCCACGCCGTCCACAGCGGTCCAACAAATTTCATGATGGATCGGCCTCCCGTCGCCACTGTCAATAGCTCGGGGGGGAACGCCCGCTTCTCTGGCGGCAGCGCCATGGTATAATTGGCATACTGCAGCGCCGTGATGCCAAACTGCAACGGCACGGCGAGGAAGTTACGCAGCTGCTCGACGGGCACGTCGTGATCGGGGAAGAACTCGGTATAGGTGCGATATTTCCACGCAAGGCGATGGATCGTTACGTTGATCGACTGGCGGTCGATGAGGTCTGCCTTCGAGGTAGGGATGAAGATGCGTCGCCAGATCCGCAAGGCTTCGGGTGCCGACATGGGCTGTAGGACCTGCTTGGATGTCGGCGTGACGTGTTTGATCGAGAGGTCGCTGCGATCGTAGGTTGTCGTCGCGTTCTGGCGGTAGACTGTCATGAGGGTCTTCGTGCGGAGGGGGGCAGTGGCCCAGCGTTCGGGAAGGGGACATTCGCCGTAGAGCTGAGTAAAACTTGGACAAGCTCTCCAGCCTGAGAAGCACTGCGTCAGCGAGTAATATCAAGTGTCTGGTTGGTCCGCGTCTTACCTGCGGCGAGAGAGTCGCCGACCTGCCTGATACACATCTGCAGGCCATCGCTCATGCCTGCAGGTGTGAGGTATACCGCGCACTCTTTCTCAATGTCGAAGCGGAAGTCGGCAGGCAGTGGATCAAAGCGGGCTGCGAGGCCCGGTGCTCGCATGATGCTGATGGAGTCGACGTCATTGAAGGTGCCTCCTTGAAGGATGGTCGAGTTCATCAACGGCACAACCTTACGAGCGATCTCCATGCCGCCGGGAAGGAAGATGGCGGAACAATTTCCTTCACATCCTTCCATCGACCATGCTGTTGAGTATCGAGGATAGTTCATGAGCTGCTGAGCCCATGTGTCGAAGAACCCCGCCATGTAGGATGCGGGGATGTTGTCGAGCACACTGACATCCGGTGGAATGGTCCCAGCGTAGACCGCAACGCTAGGTCCATCCGGAATGAAATGATGCTGGAAACTGTTTTGAACTGCGCCTCGTAAGTATGCTATACTGGAATCGACAACTGAAGCTATGGGAGTGGCTTGCTTACATTTGAGAACTGAGCCGAAGCCAAGTCCCATGAATGGCAGAGCAAGTCTGCTCAACGTCAGGAGATTGTCTTGTGCGTTACTCATCATGATGCAGACCTACCTGAATATGCCCCAAGTGTTCTTGAGCCTACTGTCGAGAATGAACTTGAGAACCGAGAACCAGTCGGTCGCCGGGCTAAGCTGGAAGAAGCTTGAGGCCGACGTCCCTCCCTTACCATCAACCCTCGAAGACAACGACCATCTCAATGCATCCAAAAGTCCCTGTACCATGAAGCACAGAACCATGGCATAGAGCTGAGAAAAGACCGAGAGCAACAAGTTGGTGACTGACGCCTCAAACACAAGGACGCCGATCTTGGGGTCCCTCCTGATGAGAACCTTGTGGATGAAGAGTGAGTAGAGAACTGTGAACAGCGCGCTGGCGAGCCACGCAGTCAACGGAAGCCATATCGGGCGACAGTGGCCCCAGAAGCTGCGCTTAGGAACCAACTGCACTTCGTCTATCGTGACGAGAGGCGAAGGATCTGGTTTCCTCTCTGGGAGGCGGAGATCTAGCGACACCTTACGGTCCGAGTCGAAATCAAAGCTGACATCTTCGAACGAAGAGTAATCCGGGTGTCTTTCAGGATGCTGTACCATGCTGGGCGTTTGGAGACGGAAGCTCACATCGCTGCTCTTACACGAAGGTGAAAAGAGTGCCGGCTCTTAAGGATCGTGAAGTAAGGCCCTCCGTCGATAAAAGAGGGAAACCTTGGAAAGAGAATCATAGTTTGACTCGACAGATGAGAGGCATCTTTCAGGAAGGTAGGAAGGGACATGCGTTAAGAAACTTGGGGGCCAAAGAAGCCCGTAGCTCGGCTATCCCATGCTGCGAACCAGCGTGGTCTCTCGACGAGAGGGGAGTCGAGACAAGGGGGTTGGGGGCCAATGGAGTTGTCCATCCGAGCCTAGAAGGATGTGTGGCTTTTAGCCTGCATGAAAAGGTGGCATTGGCGAGATGATTAGAGGTTGAAGCCTTGGTGGGAGCCAATCAGACCTGATCGGAAATGCAGTATCACACCCCATCTCCTGGTCGCTGGTTCTCGATGCTATGAAGTCGGAGGAGGTACAGACGGAGCTGAACACGCTTTCGGCTCGAAGGCCGCTGGCGTCTTCGTCGGTAACACAAAGCGGAGAGCACATAGATGTTGTGACCAGGCAGATCGCAGGCATCATGGAAGGCCACACAAGCGTCGCCAACACCAAATGAGTGAGGTACGCCAAGTTATTTGAAAGAACGCTGGATTTTCACAATGTGCCATGATATTTTGTCTGTGCCACCGGCGTGGCGTTGTCTTAACTCAGATCACGGACCATTACACGCCTCCTCCACGCCTTTGCTCAGATTACCGTAGCGGGGTGGCTGAATGGGCGTGCGTGCCTGCAGGGTTAACAGGCGTCTGATTTCCCCCTCCTCGGGTCCCTACCCAGAAAATTATAGCGAAAGCAGCGATTGGCGGAAGACCGATGGTGTGCTGATGTCTCACCATGTGATCTTCATAAGGCTGGATAAAAAAAAATGGAGCAGCTAAGATCAGACGGGTCATCAATCGCTCCGAAGGGAACCCCTCGCTTCGCGAATGATTTAACATGCGATGCGTCAGTGGATCGCGCGCTTCGTGCGATTCCCCGAGTTCGTATATTGGCAGTCGGTCAGGGTCCAGAATATAACCCAGAGACTGGAATGCTATCGCTGCGTTTTACTGACTCGATGTTGTCCACTTATCCGATAAGAACTCTCATCGAACTGTGCATGTAATGCATAATGGCATTGCCGAGTCGTCAGTCAGGCAGGTTTGGGTGCGTATCACTGAGAGTCGAATGAAAGATATGTGTTTCAAGCATTTTACGGATTTCTCGCCCTTGGGCTAGTAATCTCAAAAGCACGCCGCAATGCAGCCAAGGCCTAGATCCATCGTTATGCTGAGGTCTGGAGACAAACTCCCTTGTCCGTATGATTTAGACATCCGGCCGTTGAATGCCTTTTGTCTGGGTTGGTTTTATTATTGTTGCTCGTTGCCATCGTGAAGCTAGGCGACAAACACTGCATCTTGCAATCCACACAACCATCCAACTTTGCGGTCAACACAAGCGCACGAAGATTAACATTTCCGGCCATTCTCAGATATCTCGAGCATAACATAGTTGATTTTTTTTCTTACGACACTATCCATGTAAGGGCACTGACAAATCCCCTGCTGTTCGCTGCACATGTGAGACTGTCACATCAATTTCATTTTGTGTTTCCACGATAGGGTTTTGTGACAGCTTAGGCATCATGGCGGTGGTACCTGTCCGAAGAAATGTGATAGTTGCTCTGAACAGACACCGCCGTCCTGCCATATTAGGCTTTTTTTGGCTGCCTTCATGCTCATGACCACGTTCGTAAGAGACCAGAAATATTTGTTCTCGTCAATTTTGGTCTGCATGCACATATGGCTGTATGAAAAAGAACGAAAGGATCCCCATAACATTTCATGATAATGTGAAATAAAAAAGGTGTTTGCGCAGAGGCTCACAGACGTCACTTCCCGGTCAGGAGTTCCAATAAAAGGCTAACACAACAAGAAGTGATTGAAATACAAATGTTATTCTGAATCGTAATCACATTTGATCAAATGGAAATAAACTTATGCAATCATACAGTCATCCCCAACCAACTTTGCAACTGGTCAATTCAGACTACCCTTTTCTCTGGGCGTGAAAATAATGTCTAGCTTTGGGCAACTCAGAGTGAAGCCGTCCACAAGTTTGTCGGTGAAAGCCTTGACTGATTGATCAGGGGCCAGAGAAACATTATAGCGGCGCAGAAGCTCAGCAGTGACAGTACGGATTTCCATGAGCCCAAGCTGCTTGCCTACGCATGAATATCGACCTGACAGTCGTCAGTCACTGCTTCTCACTTAGAATGCTCGAACACGTACCAATGGAGAATGGGGCAAAGATTCCTTTATCTTTGACAAGTTCGGGTTCCGAAGTCCATCGCTCAGGAACAAACTCATCCGGGCGTGGGAACACTCGTTGGTCTGGGGCGCCATCAGTAGGGTCCTCTCTGGGTCACCATTGTGCAGGCGCAACTTACCTCGATAGAGTGTGTAGCTAGGAACCTGCACGATCGTGTCGCCTGGGATGAATGTGTTCTCCACACGAATCCCACCTGGCGGAGTGACTCTCTGTAGTCCCGATGGAACGGGTGGGTACAAGCGGAGTGACTCGTCGATGCAAGCCTGCAGGTATGGTAGTTTGGCCAACGATGCGTGATCCGTGCTCTCCCGGTCCGCAAAGTACTTATCAATCTCCTCCTGCAGCTTTCGACACTTCGCCGGGTTCTGTGTCAACTGCAAAAACAGGCAAGTGAGAGATGTGGCAGTTGTGTCGCTAGGACTGGTCAGCAATGTCTTCATACTTCTCTGCGGGTCAAAACATTACCTTCCCGCAACGACAATGAGCATCGAGTCGCCGCATAGATCGATATAGTCCTGTTTCGTCGGCTGCACTTTGGATCGATAGTCTCCTAGAACCCAGGAAAACACATCCGGGATATCGGGCTCATTCTGCACTGTTCGTTAGCCCGGTAAAGGGGCTGTAGAAAGGCAACGTCTGTGGCAAGGCTCACCTCCATTCGCTCCCTTGTCTGTTCGTCGAGCCAGCGTTCAAAAGATTTCAAATGTCTTGTCAAAAGCGGAATGTTCCTGCCAAACAGGACGACCCACGACATGTGCATCAACATCCCACTTAATGCTGTTGTGGCCTGGAGTAGTTCCATGGCAGGATGCATCTTCTGTGACATGATGAGGCCAAAGTTCTTGCCAAAAGCCAAGTTGCCCATGACGTCAAAGCTGTACAGATTGAATTCCTTGGACACATTAATTGCGCCGTATTTCTTGGCATCAATCTGAGACAGGAGTTGGTTTGTGTAGGTCCTGACGCGGGGTTCGTAATCCCGAAGAGCTATCCAGGTTTTAGTGCGAGCTTCTTCAACCTCGGACTGGGCCGGCACTAACATTTTGATGAGAAGCCCTGATCCCAGACCTTGCGCCTTCGCCCATGGTCTTCACGGTCTCGGGTTGTATGGACCGACCTGGCTGGAAGCTGAGTGTTGTACCATGGGCCCTTGGAACACGGCGATGAGTTGGCGTGTAGGGCTTGCACAGCTTTCGGATGTGCGATGGATATTTCCGAGGGGCCTGGAGAAAACAGAAGATGATCAGGTTTGGCCTACCAACTGTCTTTCAAGAGCTCTTACCGAGGCGGACAAAGTCCCCATACCTCTCGTGCAGTTTCTTTGCCTCGATGAAGAACTGTTCATTCTTCCTCGCAAGCCGTGTAGCGTAAACGCCAGAAATCTTGGCAGCAAACGGGCCCGGGAAACGTCTCAAAGGGTGTAACAGAGTGCGGTAGAGCACCATGCTCACGGAGAGGCCAGCGATGAGTGCGCCATAGAGGGAGGATACGTCTTGGATGGCCTGCCACAGCTCATCTTGTGATGGCACTGGCGCTCCATATAACACAACAGCGACGAAGACTGAAAAGGAAGTGGCAAATGCCAGGACAATCTTTGAAGCGTAGTTGTCCCATTCGCCACGTCTGAAAAGCAATATATGAAATAAGGCACCAACAGTAAAGGCCGTTAGATGGGCCGTCTGGCCACTCAACGTGGAGGTCCAGAGCATGACGGACAGATCGAGACCAGAACAGATCAACAAATCTCAAGTTGAAGGCGATATTGCCCTTGTGCTCGAGTTGCACGATCTATATACTGCCCCATACGACAAATCCTGCCAACTAGGTGCCCATGAATCCACCTTACCCCAGATTGTTTCTGCCGCCATGAACGTGGTTCAGGACGGGGTCGCCCCACATCACCCGAAGATAGAGCTGCCGCACATCGCGGGGTACATTACCTTAGTGTTGACCCACATTAGCCGAGGGTCTTCAAGCTGGTCAGGAGCCATTGACATGATTTGGATTATGGTGCAAGTCAGATTTGGTGGCGTGCAGAGCGTGTTGGCATTCTTTCGTACCATCCCCGCGATCTGCTTAATGGGCGAGTAAGGGCTGGAGCTGAAGCGACTGTCAGAGGTTGTCTTGGCAACTATAGCGTCATTGCTCGACCGTGTGAATGGACCTCGGAGGAATTATAAGATGATGCAGACTTCTACCCGCTTGAACAGACTATCAATAGCAAGTGATGAGTGCCGCCACCCCATATGAAACGCCCCGGCCATTGCGACGAAAGAGGCTTTGGTAGGGTCACATAGTGGTGGTGGAGTCTGCTGCCTGTAACATCGTTGCGGAGAGTTCTTGGGCCCTGCCATAGGTGCTATGGAAGTTTATCCACCAAACCATCAAATCGTACTGGATGAGTTTGTCGTCATGCCAACCCCGGATGCCCATCGGGAGCTTAGTAATATACATGTAGAACCTTAATGGCCCATGGAAACTTTGATGCAACATGCAACACACCGGCCTATCTGCCGTTCTGCAATCGGAATGAACATCCGAGTTACATGTAGATGAATAAACCCGCAAATCCAGAGTTAAAAATGTGTCCAAGTGCGCGTACCAGCCTGAATACCGAACAGCGCCCCCACCTACTACCGAGGTACCTGCCACGGCGTTGAGCTTTAAATCTCCAGCATAGCTTCAACATAAAACCGCGAAGGGGTTCGATGGAATGAAGTCTGCCGTTGCTCCTACTATCCCCCCCCAATTCAACTGATTGTTCGAATATCGAAAAGTCCGCTCGCGCCAAGATGCCTATCGAATCTCGTTGGACTACCCCGACGCCAGAAGTGGCTTTGCACAAATGGGTGTTCGGTTCATCGTTTGGGGAGCTCATCAATCAGAAGATCTTCTTCGATGCCGATTCACCCGCAACGAGGTTTCTGACCTTGTCTGACTTTCGACTATTGTCCAAAAGAGTGGCTCTTGGCCTGCAACGAGCAGGTCTGAGCCAAGGAGACCGTGTCCTGATATGCAGCAGCAACAGCCTCTTCTTCCCGCCTCTGTTCATGGGCGTTCTCATGGCTGGTGGGATATTCACAGGCGCGAGCATAGCCCTGCGGCCCGGAGAGCTTGCTTATCAGCTGCGGGATAGCGGCGCGTCTTTCGTCTTCGCGGAAAGCGCCGCCCTCGCAACAACGCGCGAAGCATGTCTGCAAGCGGGAATCCCGTCCAGCCGCCTCTTCTCCATTGACGGTAGCGATCCAAACCTGCGAGAAACCACCAGACCCATGCCGTCGTGGACAAACATGCTTGCCTCTGCGGCCGAGGCGGCGCGTTTTGACTGGGTGGAGCCGCAGGACCCTCGAGCCACGACATGCTGTCTGAATTACAGTTCGGGGACCACGGGAAACCCCAAGGGCGTTGAGATCACACACTTTGCGTATGTCGCGAATGGTGAGGCGACAACCTTCCTCCGGCGGCAGATCAACGACGGGAAAGCCGGGGAGACTCCTGATGCAAGCATCTGCTTCATGCCCCTGTACCACGCTGCAGGCCAAACGTCGTTCATCGTGAACAACCCGCGCATGCTCATCCCGACATACATCATGCCGGCCTACAATTTTGAAAAGCTCCTCAGCCATATCCAGACGTTCAAGATCACCTCAATCATGACCGCGCCCCCCATTCTGCTGTCCCTCGCCAAAAGCCCGCTGGCGGCCAAATTCGATCTGTCTAGTATACGTGACGTGGTATCGGGCACTGCACCACTGGCACCGGAAATCTCGGCCGAGGTCGAGAAGAGGATATGGCCAGACGGCCAAAACTTCGTCAGCCAGGCCTGGGGCATGACGGAAGTCACCTGCACTGGATCGATGAAGGGCCCCGACGACCAGCAGCGTACGTTATCCGTCGGCGAAATCGTACCCAACGCCCAATTCAGGCTCGTGCAAGAAGACGGGACAGAGGTCACGGAGGCTAACAAGAGCGGAGAGCTTTGGTTCTCGGGGCCGACGCTGATGAAGGGCTATTGGAAGAACCCGACGGCGACAGCAAATACTCTTCACGAGGAAAACGGCATCACGTGGCTGAAGACAGGAGACGTCGTCTACGTGGACAAGTACGCGGCGGGGGCCAAGATTCACATCGTGGACCGCATCAAGGACCTGATCAAGGTGCGCGGTTTTCAAGTGTCGCCGACAGAGATCGAAGGGGTTCTGCTCGACCATAAAGGTGTCACGGACGCGGCAGTCGTCGGGGTCGTTGTCCGCGGCGAGGAAGTGCCTCGCGCCTACGTAGTCAGAGCCCCGGAAGTGAAGGAGGCAGACCTCTTCGACTGGGTGAACAAGCGAGTCGCCAAGTACAAGCAACTCCGAGGTGGGCTAGCTTTTGTGGACAGCATCCCGCGACTCCCGGTACGTCGATCCGAGGCGGGGAACCGTGCATTTCCGAGCATTTTGATCGATCGCTAACCTTTGAGCAGACAGGGAAGATCCTGCGTCGAGCCCTCCGGCAGAGGGCACAACAGGAGGTTGACGGCGTGAAGGCAAGGTTGGTGTAGAGAGGGGCTGACTAGGATCTGGATGTAGAAAATGCGGGGGAACTGTGTAGACCGTGCTCGCTATTGCCGAGGTTTTAATGGGTTGCCAGGTTACGAGGTACGCACAGTAGTCTTGCGCTGCCCACTTGGTCGTACGTCTTCGGTCAGTAGTGCTCCCAAGACCGTTAGCATAACCGCCATCATCTATTCCTAGGTAGATCAGGGTGCTGCGTGTCAGGAGCGGAATTGATTCCAGGTCATGCATCGTCCAGGATCCGGCCGAGCGAGCCAACACCATTCAGACCTAGCTACGCTGCCCAGAAATCTCCGCGCTCCCCCGCATTCACTACGCGTACATGGCATTGTGCGAGTGGTACCTTACTTCACGAATCTTCTCCCTTTTCAATACGCCAATGACTGACACCGGCGACAATTGCGCTCCCCACCTCTTATGACAGTCAACCATGACCTAGTCGCTGTCTCCAGACTTTCGAGGTAATCCTTTGCCCAGTCCTATTCTCCGTCAATATGCAGCAAGAGCATACATCCCAAACCGTTGGCTTGCCTTCGACCGCCGACCCAGGCAGTCTGGATCCTCATACGGATTTGTTGGACGGCCAAAACTTTCGTCTTGGCCGAAGTTATCGCCGGCGATCTGTTAAAGCGTGTCTCTGTTGCCGCCACCGCAAGGTCCGATGCAATGTCAGCCTTCTTGGACCACCTTGTACCAATTGTCACCTCGACGGGAAGCCTTGCATAGTTGCTGATCGGGCGTCTCGACGGTATGTTCCACAGTGCTTAGTGTCATTATGAATGAGAACTCATGGGGATCACGCAGTCGACTTCCTTCGATAGCAAATCCCGACTACGAAGCGGTCTTTGCCACCGGGAAGAGCAGTAGATCAGAGGATGTCGTCGACATCGACGCAGCGACAAATGCTGTGAGCCCAGCTCAAGGATTCCCAATGCTGCCGGCCTTGAACGAGCTGGATATACCGGTGGACATGGGCACCGACTTGGAAAGCGTGCCTACATCTCGGGAGCCAGAACCGTTACTCGAAAATTCACTTTTACATACCTCTGCGGCAGAGACGATGACCGTCGTCCCGATCGAGCTCGTCTCCAAGGATGATCTTGCAACCGGTATGCGCATGATTGAACGCCCTAAGACGCTGCCTTGCTGACTGTTTGGCCAACACTAGATACTGCACTGGACTTACTACTCAATCTAGCTCCTACGGAATCAAATCATGAGCACTACGAATCCAACTCTGCGCGCGAGGTGATTGGGCCCTGGGGACCTTCTCCGTCATGTCCCTTCCTCGAGACTGATGGACTGGCTGGTCTGTCTCAACCAGACATCGTCTTCCTCCAGACCAAGGGCTGCTTTCATATCCCGAACAAACCCATCCTGGACGAGTTCATGCGCGAATACTTTTTGCATGTGCATCCTTTTCTGCCTCTGCTCGATGAAGCTGAGTTTTGGGCGGCCTATCGGATCGAAACACCGGACGAGGCCACTACAAAGGTCCCCCTTCTTGTTTTCCAAGCAATGCTGTTCACTGCGAGTAATGTGCGTATTTCTTGGAATCCTCTAGAATATCGAACCATTTTTTGCTGACCTCCTGGCCCTCATAGTTTGTGCCATTAACAGTAGTCAAAGCGCTCGGTTTCCTCAGCATCCAATCAGCACGAGCGGCATTCTACAACAGGGCAAAGGTACGGATCTGTCGTGCAAAGCTTTTACCCCCAATTGCGAGACTAATTGTCAGGCACTTTTTGACGCAGGACCCGAAGCACCACCAGCGGTGTCCGCACGTGCTGCTCTCTTGTTAACCATGTGGTGTCCACCACCCAGTGTTCAGCGTAACAGGACCAACACGGCCTGGCTATCTTTTGCCATACATCAGGCTCGATGCGCAAAGGCTCACCTTGCCTGGGACATTGAGGCGGCTGTCGAAAGCTCACAGTTCAGCTCTCAGCGTAACCTTCACGACATACAGATGCTGAAACGCCTTTGGTGGTGCTGCATCGTTCGTGACCGATTCTTGTCGATCGGCATGAGGAGAAGCATGCAAATCCCGACAGAATTTCCTATTCTCGAACCTTCTGACTTCGAAAGCGAGTTGACACACTCCGAGGTTCATACTGGCGAGTCGAGACGGCGCCTTCTGGATATCTATGTCCACCTGATGTGCTTGTGTAACATCCTGAAAGATCTCTTACCGCCGGTAACAGACACCAATGGGAGCAGCTATCGAGTGCAGGAGTCCCATCAGAGATTAATTAATGCCGGACGGCACTGAAAGATTGGTATAAAAAGCAGGCTCAGCATTCTCCTGGGAGAAAGCCATCAGGGCTTCGCCAACGCTCTGTTATCGTGCACACCAACTTGTTGCACATCTTCTACTTGTAAGTAACCGTCCCAGATATGGGCGTCATACCGTTCCGCAAGGAGATGCTCATTGGTTTTAGCGCCTGCCGAATAGCTCTTTCGCATCGTGAAATGCTTCTCGAACCGCAAGACGATATACTTCCAAGCACCACAAGCGTATCTCCTAAGTCTTCTCAGGGCCAAGAAGTTAGGGAGGCAGCCTTGGGGATGACATCTTGTCTTCAAGAATTGCTCCAGGTTGATTTGATTCGTTACCTGCCTCTTAGCGCGTATGTGCTTGGTGTTGTTCCCTTCAATTCGCTTCATTCTGACCTTGATGGCAGCATCGCTTTTTTCATGACGCCTCTTCTCCTGCATACACTTGACTTTATGCTGAGGCCACGGCACAGCACCACGGCCGACATAATGGCCAAGCAAGAGCGCCTCAAGGTTCTCATCGATGCTATGCGGACATACCGAACATTCTACGATGGTATCGACTGGATTAGTGGTGCAGTTCGCCAAGCTGCCAACCTTGCACGGCCCGATGATGCCTCAAAAGAGGGCTCCAGCGCAACGAGTTGGATCGACATCTGTTTTCACCACCCGTCCCTCTACATGCGGCTGGCCCTTACCCTCGATATGGCCGTCAGCGAAGCCAGGGTTCCCCAAAAGTCCGAGATTGTTGCTTTGCTGCAAATACACTGGACCTCGAGCAAGAGGATATCGAACGGCCCCAGCCTCAAGGTTCCCCAACTTATGCCAGCGACGCCCACTACCTCCATCTCGGTCACGGCGAACGCTTTACCATGGGATGAGCTTCCTGATATGCTCGGGTGCCAGCGTGAGGAAGAGAATGGCGGCGAACCGTCTCGACCAGATGACCAGGCGGCCAGTAGCACAGATGACTTGAGCAGCCCGGACAGCGTGATGGAAGGATTGACGGTGATGGAATTTGATGATGCGTTCTTCGGCATCACGTTGCAGGAATGGGACCTTGAGGCGAACTGGCCTATGCCTCCGGCATTGGAACCTGGCGAACACGGGCGAGAGGCGCAGTTCCAAGATTGATTATTTTGTATAATGTTGTTTAGACAGGTACATCTTCGAGATACGCGCACAGGAATTTGTACTATTACTTGCACTACTATTACTTGCACAGACATACCATCCCACTCGGGCTGAGAAAGTCATGTTTCGAAGCCCTGGTGCTGACCACGAGAAGTCGTGGAAAACCCGATCGGCATTCAGAAAGGGCAGCGGATCGAGGTTGTTGCTGTTGCAGGACAATTTCTTGTGCGCAATTGATTTTAAGAATTGTCACCCTCTTTCCTTCATGTGCATGTATCGTAACCCGTGTTTGGGTATTGGTGTAGATGCATATAAGAGCGGAGAGTTCAGTCATTTAGACAACATTCGCTCAGAGTACATGACAACGCACATGCCAGCTTCACATTGGAGTAGTTCGACAAGGACTGAACATCGGACATGTTAAGAAACATGAAACAGCAAATGCTATCGATTCCACGGCTATTTAGAGCCATATTGTACTGCTTCATCCATGACAGCTATCCCACAGCTCAGACCCGAGGGATCCAGTCCGTGCCATTGGCTCGCAGCAACTCTGTCACCTCCTCTAGGCTGACCTTCAACGCCTTCGCGATATACTTCGGCAACTCCGTGTTGTCGTGCGCGCCGGCCATGTCGATGATGAGCTGATCACCCATATCTTCCGCGCCATAGGCATACAGCGTTGTGTCGACAGCGGAGTGACCACCCGTCGACCAGGCATGACCAGTGCGCTTGTTCATCGGCTTCGCAAGGTTCGCCGCAAAGTTGCCCGCGAGCAACGCTTCAACCTCAGCATCCGTGGCGTCATTGACACCATACGACGGGAGGATCTCGTTTCTCAGGAAGCTGCGACGATCGTCGCCCTTGTAGTCGTTCCACAGCTCCGTCAGGTAGGCGATGGAGTGCTTGGAAGCGGCCAGCGGACGGGGATCATAGCCGCTCGGGAAGGTTAGTCCACCTGTTTCGTGGTCGGCGACTGATAGCATGGCCGTGTCGGGGTGCTCATCGATCCACTTGGTCACAACATCGACGACGTTGTTGTACTCCAGGACGTCCCAGAGATGCGCGACCGAGTCGTGAGCGTGTGACGCGTGGTCGATGCGCGAGGCCTCGATCATGATGAAGTAACCCTTATCCTTGCAGTGCGAGGCGCGGTGCAGCGAATTGAGGGCCGCCGTCGTCATCTCGGCAAGGGAGGGTTCACGATCCGCTTGAGGCTGCTGCTGGCGATCGATTTCATAGTTGAGGTCACCGTCGTTGAAAAGACCGACATATGGGAGGCGGATGTCGCCGAGGCCTTTTTCAAGGTCGTCAAACGCTGAGCGATTCTGCGCCACGTAGTAGCCCTTATCCTGAGCGAAGGCGAAGAGGTCAATCTCGTCGTCACGACAGGAATCCGGGTCTGACTTGGGCTTGAAGTAGCAACGTCCACCACCAAGCAGGATGTCGACGGACTGATTCAACGGGTGGCTGTAGCCGATCTGTTGTTCAGCAATGGCAGCGAGACCATTGCGATTGACCACATGGGATGAGAAGGCGGCTGGAGTTGCATGGTTGATGATGCTGGTAACAACAAGGGCAGTCCGGTAGCCATTCAGCTTGGCAGCCTCGAGAATGGATCCAACAGGCTGGTTGTCGGGCAAAATACCAATCGCACCGTTGTTTGTCTTGTGTCCCGTAGCGAGAGCTGTCCCGGCAGCGGCCGAGTCTGTGACAAGATTGTTGTTCGAATGGGTGCGCGTGTTACCGATGGGCTGTCAACGCATCAGATTGTGAATATTGCAAATTGAAACGAAGTCGCCCACCGTGATATCTACCGGTAGTTCGTCAATAATTCCAGGCGCACCAGGACGGGAGCTGCCTTCAACCATGGCCTTATATGTGCGAGCAATTGTCTGCGAAGCTGGTGCCATGCCATCAGGGACAATGAAAATAAAATTCTTGGGCTCAATGGCGGCTAGTGCGGCCTGAGCGAAAGCCCCAGCAAGCAGGGTAGAGCCTCGCATCGTAACTTGAAGAATTGAACTGCTAGTCTGCTATCTCAAGACTTGTGAAGTAATTGGAACAGCTTCTGAGCAAAAGGCTGGTTGGTACATCGAAGCAGCTCGCATCGAATTCAGCGGTTTATCGCAAGCATTAAGTATCTTCCGCATTGCCAAGACACAGTTTGTGCTGCAGGTCCTCCTCAGGGAGGAGGTTGTTAGCAGTTGCTCGTAGAGGCAAGGTGCCTCGCCCCAAATGATCGTGGATGCATGGCATGCTCTGGCCATGGCCCAAGAGTCAATCGCTCTCCACGATCACCGTCAGCGAGCACGAGTCGTTGCCTCATGTGCCGCTCGGAAGAATTGCATATCTTCTCGGGAATGGCCCCTGTTCCTGAATGCCAAGAGAACCAGACTCTCGAAAGAGGCAGGTCCGAGCAATAGATCATCAACTTGCAGTTTCTCCGGGGATATTATCCAGTCGTGGGACGTTGCGAGATGCAGCACAGGCTTGGCTTGGCTACTAGGCGGGAAATGTTGAAATTGAATGAAACGTCAATCCAGAAGACAGACATCGTCGAACCACGTGGAGGGCACCAAGAGTTGTTTGAAGAAACATTTCCGTGCTGCTGCTTCGGCCATACGAACCTTGATGGCCAAGATCGTCGTTCAGTGCTGCGGGGAGACGGTTAGCGCAGAGAATAAACTGCCCACTCGCGCCTTGGCTTCACAATTAGGGCAGTTCTCCGTCGAATGCAACATCATCGCCGACATCACGCCGGTTGTCGGTCCGGTGTCCAACATATTCAGGACTCGGAGTGCGCTTTTTAAGTTGAGAACGTTGCAGGTGGATACGCGAGGCCGTGGACTTGGTCGGATTGGCGCAAAAAGATGTACTTGAGATGATTTGGAGGATTCAAATCCCAAAGGCACCGTTTCTTCTCTAGAGTCGCTGCTGATGAACTTCAATCACATTTGCTTCGTCAACCGACAAAGGCGTCAAAGTATTTTGGCGTTCTGTCTCGGCGACATCAGGCTGAATGCAACACAAGGGAAAGAGGGGGCTAAGAGCTGCGCTCACTCCCGGCATCCACAGCTCGGGCTATGGGGTCCCAAAGCTCCCCAAATCAAGCCAGCTTCAAATAAAAGAGGAATTAGGCATGGGTCTGAGCACTGAATAATGCTTGCTATTGAGTCTGCATACCTGTCAGATACAAGTACGATCCGATCACTCGGGTCAACCACGACGCACCTATTATTACTTTTCATACATTACCATTACATATATAGTCAATCTCGCATGTCTGGTACAGTTTTCCGTCTCCGGTCCCTCTACATGGTTCATGGGGTACCGGGGATGACGTCGCCATGTCTAGGCGGCTCCAAGTAGTCCTCGGGAACGGTCTCAGCAGGCGGTGCCTAGCATCTCACACTCAGTACGACAGATGTGGCCGATGACGGGGAATCTTACGTACCTGAAGCTTATTAGCCCACTCTTGAACGTCTTCGTAGTTCTTGCATTGATGTCGTGTATTGAAATCTGGGAAAGCGGCCGGCTCGTCCTGATTTGCCCAGACCTGCCCGAGGACGCCAGTGTCGACGTTGCACATCAAGACCTGACGGATCATATCAAGGCAGTGGGCTAATTCTGTCAGCCGGGCTTAAAAGCATCATCAAGTGTCAAGTCGATACTTACTGACGTGATGGCTCAAGATCTTGTCGTTGTTCTCGAAAGCGTGCTCACCAAGAGCCTTGTAGTAGTCGTAATTGAAGAAAAGTGACTTTCGCACCAGGTTCTGAACCATTCTCTGTCAGTCATTACAACCCATTGCTTCGTTTATTTCGATTCACCTTACCAGACAATGGAGGTGATGCATTCCCTCGACATTGACAAAGAAGCCAGCGCCGTATTTGGGGTTGCGCTGGACAAAGGACATGTCGAGTCCGCTGGCGAGGCCATCCTCAATGGAGATGACACCGGCGCGATCTTGCAACGTCAGCAGGGTTAGTAGCAGGAGGAGCCTTGTAAACATACAGTCAACGCCCAAGGCTTCCCAGGCAGCGTCAACCTCTGGCGATCCCTTCTGACGATATATGTTCTCCTTCAGAAAAGACCCATTGAAGTGCTTCGTCGAGTACGTGACGTCAATATCGCGGAGCACAGGTGCTGTCGATCAAACGGTCAACCGGTGGAATCCACTCAACCCAGCCCGCCATGGAGCCATGTCTTACTTACACCATTGTGTTGTATGAGCCGCGCAAGAAGCATCAAGGCGACTCGGTCGCGTCGCAAGGTAGGCTCCGACACGCATGGAGACGAGGCTTGTGAAGATGAGCACGGCAAGCGCAGTCATGTATTGAATTATTCGTTTGGTCCATGACCTTTCAGAGGGAAGTGACTGGAGCGACTCGGCGTCCTCCTCAGACTCGTCGACGCGGTCTGCGAGGGGTTTAGATGGGATCTCTTCCTTGGAGAACATGTTGAGGCAGTCTTGAACGACACTCGAAAGAAAAAAAATTCAAAATTGGGATAATGGCAGGCTCAACTGGTGAGACGGGGTTCTGAAGAGGAGAAATGAGTACAGGTGAAGCTTGGGCTCAAGTTTTGGGGGAGGGAGAGCTCCTGTCGTGGGCTTTGCGGATCGACGTGAGGCGGGATGTCGGGAACAAAGAAAAGGTACCTAAGCTATCAGCAAGCTGGACCACCCAGTTTAGATCGAAAACACACCTTCAGTGCCTATTTTTCTGCAAATCCGGCGTAGCCTCCGGCCGTAGTGGCGTTCCATGCGGGTGAGATCTCGTGTACGGCAAACGTGGGCTAGGCTGCTCCTTGTTGCCATGATGAGGTGCGATGCCGTCAGATGTGGGCTGAATGCGTCGCCAACACACCGATGCATCTATTCGGAGATGGCGGCAAGGTGGCTACACGTTTCAATAGCGCGCTGACGCTAAGGATCGGAGTGGGTGTGCGGCTGAGGCCATCACAACCAAGCCCGGGACCATGCCGAGACATGACTAGGAAGACCAGTGTACTGTAGCACCACGGCAGTGAGCAAAGCCAAGGGAACGCGGGGTCGTCCTTCTGAGCTCGGTTGGGGCAGATTGAGGGGAAACCCTGTCACAGCCCGCTTCTCCAGACTATATTCATAGCGGTGGTCACGATAGGGCTGCTGTGTGTGGAGATCACAACCATTTATCTTGGCAAAACTGTAGAGTGGTGGTCATTTAAACCAAGGCTCGTATTGACAATAGTAGAAGATGGTCACGATAGGCGTGGAAGAAAACGTCCCATTTTCTCATGGTAGCGCGTCATGTTGCACCGATCGTACCCATAGTGTCATTGATCGCTCCCAAAAGCCTCCTCTGTGGGGACAGCTCGCGTTTCTCCAACATTTGTCGGCATCACGACTTCAAGTGGATGACACCTGACCTCTACTTCCCTGGTCTCTGTAGAGGACGCGGGGAGATAAGGTATGCATGCATACCAGGCCTTCTCGCTCGTCCAGTTCAGTTCGTCGTTCGCCCACCTCCCAGCACATCCGGTTACCGATGCTGGAAGACATTGGCGCTGTTGCTCATAGGCTGGCCAAACTGCGTGCGGAGGAAATACGAGGCACGCCAGAAGCCTGTCAAATAGGAAGCGAGGCATATGTTGCCGTGGGGTCGCAGTAAGCCAGATGGGCACAAAGCACTTCTGCACGCTAGTCTCACATGTCTGCCCGGACGACCACGCATCCGGGACAGGAAGCATGGACCATTCGCTTGCCCAAAGTAGCCAAGACGATGCACGTCGACTCCCAAAACGCCTTTGGGCATGGCAGGGCTGCGGCGTGAGGACTGCTCACCCTTGAATCTTCTAGACTTGTACGTCCAACCAGACGATGCGAGGTGGTAACCCTGGCAAACTATCGCTTCTAAACTTTCCAGAGCTGCTCGTCCGCAGTACACGTGGTGCGGTGCTGGGGTCGGCATCATCACTTGCCTGGTCACCCCGCCGACAGCTTGGCTCTTTTCTTCTCATACATCATCAACCCTTCGGATGATGGGATCTTCACCCGTGACGCCCCTCGTGACTCAACACGAGGGCTTCTTGAGGCGATGCTGCTGATCCTGTCTAGTCCGGCTTGCCTTTTTGCGGCAAGCTAGGAGCCAATTCATAGCACAATGGACAGGCCAAAGCCATTTTTAGATGGAGGTAAGTTCAGCCTAGATCGGTCCGGGGTGAAGGTCGGCCCTTGGTATCAGCAGCGATGCCGAAACCGTCCAGGGTGCTCCGGTCTCCAAGCCACCGGCGCGGGTGAGGCTTTGACAACAAACATTGGTCCACCACTGATAGCTTCTCGTGCATCACCACCATATCCCCTACCCAGTCTTTGCGTGCATGGTGGCTTTCACAGTCTCACCTGCCCCTCTGCGGCGTTGGCGGCGTTGGCGGCGCTGACGGCGTTCACAGCGAGAAAGGGTTGGCGAACAAGCTGAAGATCTGAGGTTCCTCTAGCCCCAACCGGTGAACACGAGAATTTCGGCAGCAGCCTTGACCAGATCAGCAAACGCCGCGAGCTTGCATGGCACGATCGTCACCTCAGAAGTCGCCCCTTGGCTCATCGCGGCTTCACCCGGTTAGATATGGCTGGCTGAAAGAGAGGGGGGGGAACGTGACGAAGACTGGCCGGTGTGCAAATCGAAGGCGGTATGGCCAATCGAAGCAGCAGACGGTGCCGAAGCAAAGGTTCTCGAAAGACATAAATGGTGGTGTGTCTTCTTCCGTTTCTCGACCTTCTTTCCGGATCCCAGCCTCAACCTCGCACTCTACGTCGACATCACAAGAAAACAACAGCACCACCCCAAACCATACAGGCTACAGTAAGCCTTGGTACTTGTCCATCAACAGTCCTTGTGTCTAACACAGCTTCGCAGACCAACGAACACAAGCCAACATGAGACTCTCCGTCGCTGCCATCTTCCTCGCGTTACCGGCATCATTGCTGCGCCGGCCCCCGTTGCCGAGCCCGAGGCCGTTGCTGAGCCTGCTCCCGGAGGCTACGGCCACTATGGCGGCTATGGCAAATACCCCACTCCCAAGGGAGGATACAGCACCTACGGCAAATACCCCACTCCCAAGGGAGGTTACGGAAAGTACGGAGGCTACGGCAAATACAAGAAGGATCTCAGCGAGGCTCAGGATGCCGAGGAATAGTCGAGTGATCCCTCGATCCTGTCGTGGGATGCGCGCTGATCAATGGTCATGTAAAGCGACACATGGCGAGCGCAGCAGAGTGTGATTGGTTCTGGAAACTTACAAGAATTAATGTCTCTCCTTTAATATCCTAATTAATACACATCAAGTACGAAACATCATCAGACCTGGATGTCTCGGCCTCATAGTGACGTAGATTGGCTCACGCGGTTGTTCGAAACGGCGTGAAAGCAACATAAAGAAAAGTGAAATTGTTCGTTGCGCCAAACTAAAACATTTTAAAAGTATCAAGCAGCATATTCTCTGTTCTTCTTGTTTTTGGTCATATATACAAGCCCGCGGATTGAGTTGCAGCTGGCCCCAAATGTAGTCTATGTTCACAAAGGATAAGGCTTATCTGCCCCCTCAACATCTCAGTCAATGATACTGTTGCGTCTCTATAGTATTGATCTCACAATTTCCAGCTGAATATAACAGTGCTATGTATGAGTTTGCCTTCGTAATGTTATTGAAGATTGTTTCTCAAGCAGTTTCATCTTAGTCCATCGCACCAAATATCATACCAAAGTAAGTGCAATGTCATCCCCAAGCCCTTCCAGAGAAGAACATGAAGCAGAGGGTAGAAAGGAGGGAGGCACTCCCCGCAACCAATCCCGATCAATTTCAACTCAGAAAGTCCCAGTCCAAAAGCGAAGCCCTACCAAGCCCCCGACGCAGCATACTTACGTATCGTTTCCTCCACTCACAGAAGATAGCTCTGATGAGCTGACAGATGTTGATGAGGACAGACTAGACATGTCAACAGAAGAGACCCCACCACTGACCGGAGGAAGCCAGGGCGCAAACTCGGCAGTAGAATCCCTCCGCCGCCACCTCACTGACAAAGACACTGATGCATCGTTGAGCGAGCGAACGGTCAGCCGTCCACGCTCTAGCTCCTTGGCAGGGGCATTTACTCGCATCTTCTCCCCTCTTTCCCGCTCAAACAGTGCCAAGTCAACGACCGGTCACCCCAAGGCTTGGGCTGTCTACGATGAGGATGTGGACGGCGCCGAGCAACACCAGAAGTCAAAAGAAGAAAGATGAGGCGGAGAAGACTCAGGACTGTAATACACACTCGCTCAGTATTTTCTTTGTTGAACGGTCGATTGGCGCTGGCTGCCTCTCGGGCTCAGGTGGAAATATGAAGCAAGAAAAATGAAAAAGAACAAAGGCGTGAATGCCAAAACGAGAGATTCATTTTCTTTTGCAGACATGAGGATGATAGACGATGAAATTTTACGTTTCAAAGCCGTAGTTCACGACCTCGATGTAGAACGCAACATATCACCATGCTGAACAATGACTTAAGGGGCTATCAGGCAGTGTTCCACTCACTCACGAAGGCACCTCAACGGCGATAAACCGACGACCGCATGTAGAATTCAGCGTCTGGCAGTTTTGGCTATGTGCAATGGTGAAACTATGTACAATCGAAAGTCGAGCAAAAAAGTACGCTCAGCCCACAGCAGGCAAGCTTTTAACGACGCTCCGTCTACGCAGACACCTTAAAGGCACTGGGAGTACCAGTCGTTCTGCTTCTGGCAAGTGTAAGGGCTGGCACAGACAGTCGAGCCAGACCAGCCGTTGCCGCCGCACTGGCCCCAGCGGGGGACCGTGGGTCCGCCGGCAGCGGTGGTGGTGGCCGAGGCGCGGGACGTCGTGCTCGTAGTCGTCGGCGCACGCGTGGTGGTGGGCGCGGGGGCCGTGGCGGTGGTGAGGGTGGTGGCGACGGGGGGCGCGACGGTGCCGGTGGCGGCGGCGCGGAGGACGGAGGAGACGGAGGTCCACGCGGGCTTCTTGTTGTAGCTGGCGTCGTAGAGGAGGGCGTCGCCCTGGCCGCTGAAGGTCTGGGGGATCCAGGAGTACTTGTCGGTGAAGCCCCAGACGGTGACGCCGACGCAGCGGTCTACGTCGACGCAGGCGCCGACGACGTTGGCATAGTCGTTGCCCTGACGGACGAGGGCGTCGGCCGAGGCGGGGAGGGAGGAGTGGCGGATGTCGAGCTCGGTGAAGGCGACGTCGACGTTGAGGGCGGTAAAGCGGCGGAGGACGGTAGCGAGGGCGCTGCGGCCGGGGGTCGAGCCGACGATCAGGTGGCCCTGGAAGCCAACACCATCAATGGGGGCACCGGCGGCCTGGATAATGTTGACGACCTCGAGAGTGCGGGTCGTCTTGGCACCGTTGTACTCGAGGTTGTAGTCGTTGTAGTACCTGTTCAGGGTCAGCATCCATGTTCAGAACAGGAACGTGGACGATGTGAGACGTACAGCTTGGTGGCAGGGTCAGCCTTGCGGGCAGCGTTGAAGGAGATGGGAAGGTAGTCGGTGCCCAGGACTTGGTAGAAGATGCTGTTGCGCCAGTTGCCGCTGTCATCGGCAGCCTCGTTGACAACGTCCCAGTGACGGCACTGGCCAAGGTAGTGCGCCATGACGTTGGCAATGTGCACCTCGATGATGGACGTCAGCTGCGCCCTGGTCCAGGTGCCGCTGGCAACCCAGTTGGGCAGCTGAGAGTGCCAGGTGAGAGTGTGGCATCGCAAGATCTGCTTGTTGGCCTTGGCAACATTGGGGACCTTTTCAAGCCCGGGTCAGCTTCGGTTCCCTCGAGAGGGCGGCCCCTTAGGGCCCGACGTGGTGAGAGCTTACAATGTCACCCGAGGTGTAGGTGAAGACGCCTTGCGAGCGCTCAGTGCTGTCCCACTTCTGGCCGTTCTCGGGAACAACTTGTCCGAACTCGGCCGTGTTGTCAACGAAGGACCGGTACTGGGCGTCGTTCACCTGGCGCTCGTCAACGGCGGTGCCGAAGTACTCGAGGCCGGCGGCGACGGCGAGGCTGTGGAGCTGAGCCGAAACGACATTCGAGCCGAGAAGGACGGCGACAAAGACCTTGGCGAACATGGTTGCTACCTTTCGCTTGGGAGGTGCAATGGTTCTGATATCACGATGCGATGAACAAGACTGAGCAGCGATGAACGGACCACTGTTTCACACGATGCCCAGCACGGGCTCGGTCTATATATGAGGTGCCACGAGGGTCATCTTCGCTATACCAAGGCGAGCCCACGAGGAGGGGGGGGGAGGGGCCAGGGGACCAAGATCGGTGTCGCGGATATGGGGTCGTGGCATGTCGTGGGGCGACACAGAAGCAGATTGCGGCGGCGGTGCTCCTGATTTTTTGCCGTATTCATCAACGGGGACTAGTCGCCGTGCCAGGTCTGGGGGCGCCTGAGTAAGGGGTTCCAATGCCGGCCCTGCCGGCCACTTTGGGCCTGGTGCCGACCCCTGCTTCTGGCCCCGGGGGGGGGGGGACTTCAGCCTATGTGCGGGAGATCGGATGGCATCATCATCTGGTATTCGTGCCCTGATGAGAGCGCTGATGTTCTGCACGTACTCTCTACTGCCCGGCATGCTCGTGCCTGGATGATCGTTCGCGAACCTCAAAAGGACGTGCTCCAGATGAGGCCATCATGGCTTGACTCTAGACTCCTTACCCGAGCGCCCCCGCATGGCGGCCCGCCGTTGAGCGCATTACGTACGTGTCTCTTCTCGCTGTCACGCCTCTGAATTGGTGTTGATCCGGCCGCTGTTCGAGATGAAGACAGCGTTCCAGGTCGTGCCAGCGTCGCGATCCTTGCTTGCGTCCCGTCAGTGCCAATTCTCCAGGCCATGGCGCTGGGCCCTCTTGTCTCTCGGCAGTCGACAGTAGGGCCAATGGGACAGAGTCTCTGAAAGCACCGTCGCCCAAAGCAGTTGTCAGGAACTTGATCCTCCAACGCCCGGGGGGCGTGCGGAGACTTCGTATTTAGGCTGATCTGGCTGTACTGCTATGCGAACCTGCAGCATGCGGGGAGGTCGGGGCAGACAAATGCGGAGGTTGAATGACGAAGCTCTCAGCGACCCGGCCGGGGCTGATCGGGCATCTCACGACTTGGTCATGATTACACGACTGTGGGACACACGCAGCCCAGTGCCAAGAGCGCCCGGATCTGGTCACTCAGTGGTGGCGATCCGAGGGGCGATGCAGGGGATTTATTTAAGCTTCTGGTCTTCCTTCGTGGGCATATCTGTCCCCTGTCGAGCTTGACTTGATAGACAGTGCAAGCTGGGAACCAAATCCTTCGCTATTGGAAGTGCATCCTTCGAGATAGAAGAGTCCAAATGACAGGAAATTTAGTGTTTGGATTTGGCTTATCCTCATCCCACAACGTCAGGGTGGCCACGAGACTTGCTCATCAGCAGCCCCCAGTCTTTCAGGGGAAGCTCGAGGTCAAGGATATCCCCCAACTCACAATGCATCCACTTCGCAATACACCCACTGGAAGGGGAGCAAATTGCTTCGCCGTTTATATTGATGCATCCCTGAGGCTGCCCAAGCCACATCTCGCGTCTCCTTGCAATCCCTCGAACTGACACCAAGCACCTCACGCCGCCCTGAGACCGACGGAGCGCTTCCATCAGTGTAAGCAATATGCTCCCCGACGGTTTTGTAAGTGACAAAGTGGATAAGGCAATGCAACAGTCTGGTCTCATAGGGGTCATGGACCAAAGTCGAAAAGAGTCATTCCACAGAGACTTGGCCTCCCTCCCGATCTTGACCCCTGGTGTTTCATCACCGCACAGTCCTTGCCCAAGTCATGGCACCAGATTCATCCCAGGTCACAGCACCGCACCGCGGGGCCTCAAAATGTCAAATGCAGTGAATTGCCAGACTGCTTCCAATACACGCCATGCGGGCGTCCGTCACAAAAGCGAACCCAGTTCGCTCATACTAATGAAAAAAAGGGGGACCAGTTTTGTGAAGAAGAAATACAGTAAAAGACCCATCACCCACCCTCTGCTTCCGGGAAACGCCATGCTCTGCATCCCATTCCTAAAGACAACCATCTGAAACCGCACACGAAGTTCTCACAAGCCTATCCCTGCGGCAGATACGCAACTGTTTGCGCTGCCAGTATTTTCACATGCACACCCGTTCACCCCGGGGACCCTTTCTCACCCAACAGCGTCGTGGGGCTTCATACTTCGGCGTCCTTGTCGAGTCGCTTGTACGCGCGGGGCAGCTTTCAGACCGAAGCTCATACTCCTCGGCGTTGCACGTCGGCAAGCTCGACCTTGAGCGCCTCGGACCTTGCGCTTCTCGGCTTCGCGCTTGCGCAAGACGGCCTCGCTCGCGAGTAGGTTGTCGGTGGGCATGAGCTCCGTCATTTGCTTGATGGCCATGTTGATGTTGATGCGGCGGTTGCCCAGGGAGCTGAGGCGCGCATTGAGGTGGCCGACGCGATCGTTCACAGATGAGAGCTCGGGTGGCGCCGGCGGCAGCGCTTTGCTCAAGGACAGAATGGACTCGGGACGGCCGTTGGTCGCGTTGTAGATACCGGAATTGACACTGCTGCGCGGCGCCGGGCGATCGACCTGGCTGGGAAGCTTCTGGCGGGCAGTCGTGAGCGAAGGCGACGCAGGGTCGGGGCTCGTGGTGTAGGCTGAAGACATGGAGATTTTGAAGGGTTCGTCGGCGTTGATGCGGGGCTTTCGTGGCTCTTTCGCAGAGGTCGTCGCGATCCATGACGAGGGGGCGTCGGCAGGGGAGGGAAGATCGGCGTCGGAAGAGGTGCGAGGGGAGCCTGCGTTGACTGATGTCGCAAACGTCGTGACACTAAATCTCGAAGGGGGCTGCACCCAATCGTCGGATGTCGTCGCAGCAGGCTGGGGTGACGGGTCCTCGGCGGCGTCCGGCAGAAGTTGAGTCGAGTAGACACTGGACGAAAATGAAGCGTGCGGGGCGTGCGCGTTGTGAGGATTGAGGCCGAGAGGGTTCGTCGGTGGTGGTTTTCTACGAATGGCCTTGGTGGGAGGCCCGCGATTAGGGGTCAAGGGCAGGGAGCCGGGTTGTTGGTTGGCGTCGGCTGCTTGGTCGCCCAGAGTGGGCATCGCATGAATCGGGGGCTGTACAGCACCTTCGGAAGTTGGAGGGGTAAGATACGACAATGCCGTCTCTTGTGCGGCCGGCGGCGGCGGCGTGGGCAGCGGACGGTCCAGGCTCATGGGCGCGACTCGGGGGCCCGTGGGCGTCGTGGCAGCGGCTGACGTTTCAGACTCGGAGGAGGGGCTGATGGGCGATAAAGGAGAGGTGACGCCGCCGGCACGAGCGACTTGGGTTGCGGCCCTCTTGCTACTCTTCCGAGGGATGTGAATGGGCGCGACCTGCGGCGTGTCCTGCACCGACTGCACAAAGGTCTGGCGGCCGCTTGCACCACGCCAGCCGGGGCGTTCGTCGATGGACATGGGCGCCGTGATGGGGGCTGAGATGGCGGGCTTGGCGCTGTTGCCGTCACCCATGGCGGGCCTCATCTTCCGGACGCGGTCGCCAAAGGCCTTCATGGGGTTCCGTTGGGTGGCCGCAGGCGGCAGCTGCTGGTGGGGTTGGTGGCTCGGGCTGCCGTCGTGGATGGGCTTTCCGGTTTGATCGTCCCATCTGGTGGTTTGACTGGGCTGACCGTGAAGCAGCTCCTTGGGCCGGGTCTCGCGAAGTTGGCTTGCCGCGTTGTCCTGCTGCTTGCGGCGGTCGCGGCGCATCATGGGAATCTGGCTCCGCTGGTGCGGTGAGGGCGAGGCTTGCTGTGGTTGGCGCTGGCCCTTCTCGAGCTCCTGCTGTTGCTGCTGCTTTCGCTGGTGGTCCTCGAGAAATCGTCGGTGATGCTGCTTGGCGATGTCTAGCTGGGACATGACGGGGGCCTCCTCGATGGGTGAGACATTGTCATCGTCGCCGCTGAGGCGGCTGGGGGCTCGCTGTCAGCACACACAGAAGGCCTGGAAAGAACGGGCCGACAAGGGAGCAGGCGGAGCATGAAGGGGGGTCACCGTGAAGCGGCAGACGGAGGGAGCAACGTACGCATCG